GCATCAATTTGGGTTTACCTTTAACTGCTGATTCTAAGTTTTAATTTAAAAAAAAAATATATATATGTATATATACAGGGTGACTGGTGAATTACTATCGATATTTGAGGACGTGATATTTGACGATCATATATGACAGAATAAAAATTAATATAACATAAATATTAATAAACTTCTAAGTAAAGTTAACCAAAAGTTATGTAATTAATTACGCATCGTGTGAACACCCTACAGATTAGGTAAACACTGACACTCACACATACGCGTGTCGTGACGTGGTGTTGTATCAGCACGTCGCCGCACGCGTCCACACTTGAACATTTGGAACGTGTCAACACTTTACTTATTTATACGGAAATTTTGTCAAAAATTAAGTGCCTATTTTTTTTACATAATTCGAATGAGTATCATGTACCGAGTATTCTCCTTAAATATTGATAGTAATTCACCAGTCACCCTGTATATTTCTATGTTTTAATTTGTTAAATAGATTTTTCTCTGATATAATATATACATATATACGTGTCTTCTTCTTCTACCTGGCATGTTCCCAGCTGTATCCAGGGTCTGCCTTACATGTTGTGAATAGTTTTGGCTAATTGTTTTTACGACCGGCCGCTTGCCTGACATCAACCCTCTTTTGGGAATCAGCATTAATCAGTGATGTCTAAACACTTAGAAAGTACATATGACTCGGAAAAATCGCATTGGTACTTGTCAGGGCCAGGATCGAACCCGCGCCCTAGTACATGAGAGGCGGGCCTTTAAACCACTAGGCCACCACTGACTATATACATATATACGTGTGTGTGTGTGTTTTTTAGGAATTCGTAGATTTAACTTCTTATAATGATAACAAACAACGAATGTATCCGATCAACCGTTATAAACATTATATTCTTGAAATCAATTTCCGTACATCAAATGAAACATTTGTTTTAATGCTTCAGGTTACTGGAAAAAATTGTTTCATTCAATATATATTGTTTACAAAGACGAGAGAACTATTTCTATAGTCATCCTTGTTGGAGTAAAATACATATAATGTATGTATACTCGTATATATCGTGTAGTGTATATTTGTAGAAAAATTTTAAAGCACTTTAATATAGTATGTTCGTTTTCTTCATAAAGACACTTATACATTTTATTTTGTTAACGTTCAAAGTTCGACTTCTTAAAGTTTTCAGTGATAACTGCTTGTAAAATATAACGACAACATACTTTTTTATTTTATTGAAAATACTCTCGTATGAATGCTTCAGAACAGTTTTTATTTTAAAGGATATAGATGTTCAGAATTCACGAAAACACTAAAATATTGCTAAATATCAATACCTCTTTATATTTCATTCGAAAAATCGTCTGTGTACATTTCTCAGAATTTTTATATTGTAGTATGTAATTTTGATGTTATTATAAAATATAAAAGATTATTACTCATCTACTCGCCGGGAACTGTAATGTTAAAGTAATAATTATTTACGATGAGAAAATAATGTTCACGGGAATTGTGATATTTATGTTATGCAGATGCATACTCTTTAGTAAAAATATAGATATACATATACAATTGTATCGCGAACAGCGATTTGACGATAACTAAAATATATATACATACATACATATCTCATATAAATTACTGGCTTATTGTAAAATATAATTAGTTTATACTAATAATTTTAATTATGATTTTATTTGAATAAGAGATTTTATATTACAACTATATATGTCTACACACATTTATTTAAAAATAATAAAATCATACTTTTTGATTATATATCTATAGTTATATTAACATCATTACATTAATAGAAGGAATTATTTTATATAGTGCTTTAGTTTTGTTCTTGTACGGCGTATTTAATTACTTTTTTTACATTTAAAATTTCAATGAAGTTACAATTTATATACAAGTTAATAACTACTTAAGGTGGATTACATTTAACATTTATTTATTTACACAAAATCAATTGATTTATAACAAACCTAATGACGGAAAAACGTTAGATTTTGAAATTATTCATGTGTGAAATTAAAAGTGTTTCATTGTTAAACGAAATATTTCAATTAGAAAATAATGAAAGATCAATTTTATACTGAAATTTTAATGTAAAGAATGATATTAATTAGAGCTTAACTTTAGTAAATTAACCTTTCTCATGCACTACTCTCTCTTGTAATTGAAAAAAATTCGTATACTTTTAAGAAATCGCTGACCTCTTTTAAAATCCGTTAATGAAATGCTAAATGCTTACATACGAAATATGTTTTTTATGGCAAAAATAATCTGCCATCAAGTAATTCTAAGAAGCTAGCTGTCCATCAACAGCTTCGTATCTTGTAAAGTCGCCAGCCAACTGATGAAGACAGGTACGCTCCAACTTCCTAGAATAATTTTCTATTGATTACGTTGCAATTACATAGAAATTCATTAGCAAGTTGTAGCTTCGTTGATCGTCCTCAATATTTTCCTTATTCTATATTTGGAACTATACGATTAAGATTATTCTTAAAAAATAATACATATTTGTCTATTTTTTTTTTGTTTTAGATAACCTTAAAATGGTTTGAAATCTTTATCAATAATTAATATATAATTATTTTAACCATTAAAAATGATTATAAATATATTACGCCTCTTAATAATATTGTCTTTGTTAATTTTTGAGTAAATATGAAGTCACAAGAATGTAATTGACTAAGTATTTTATTTTCTATTTCATAATAGTACACTGTCTGGTGATGAAGGTCTTTAACGAAGCTCATATAATACTCTATATCATCAAGTGTCATTTATGGTGATGACCTGTGAATTGATTCGTCATCAGTCCATATGTGTATCACCGCAGACTGGCTGGTCGCCAGCCCGGCGCTTCACAGAACTCAAATAGGTCATTCACTGTCACATGTCACTAACAATTTTCTAAGGAAACCAAAATCCCACCAGGATTCCTATAATTACGTGATAGTTCGTTGACTGGCTTAAATATTTTAGGTCACTTTAATCATATGTCATATTATATGACCATAATTACAATATTTACGGCAGAGATTTTTTTGCGTAAATGTTGCAAAAAATACCCATAAGTCATACAAAAGACTCGAATTAAATGACAGAGAGAAAGCCACCATCATTAAGGTCTAAATCTCCGCACAGCCATAGAATTTAATGAAAGGAAAATTTTGATGCGAGTTTCACTGTTCCAGAAACATTTTTTTTTTTGTCTATTCAACGGAATACCAATACTCTGTTTATACGTAAATTCTTGGCATACGATTTACTACGTTTTGTTTTCCTGTCAGTGATCATACGGTGATTTGATAATTGATTACGTTTCATTTTAACATAATACATATGTACATCGGGAGGAATGTTGTTGTTTTGTATGTAATTTATACATCCCCAGCTGACTCAGAGTAACGAGTCCTACAACATATTAGATAATAATATGAAAATATATCAATTTTATCACTTTACGAAAGATCATTGGATAATGCTATATTTTGATAACTAATATTTTACCCAAACCACTTATCAATATTAAAATGTGCGTAGTATATCAGAAAAACATATTTTCATCACTTTTTGTTATTATTTATTCGTAATTCCCGCCACCTGTTTCCAATCAATGTCATTTTCTTCATAACTTATCTCCAGTTCTCAATCTTTCCAATATTAATGATTGAATAAAGATTAAACATGGATTATTCTCCAACAAACAGTACTAGTTACGTATACCATAATACAATGGGCTATAATAAACGTGTCGTGTCGTCAGTGAACTGCGCACGCGCATATGTTTGTTTATGTAGCGATGTGATAGGAAACTGTTATAGCTGTTCCAGGACACGCTTATGGGTTTCCGATTGTTACCATTATGCTATCATTGGAAACAAACATATATATATGTATATGTATATACATAGATTCTTAAATGTTGAATATAATTTAGTTGGAAATTATAGTAAAAAACATAAGTGCTGTCTTGAAAATTTTCTATAAATTTACGTTTATACTTTGGTTCTGAAATTACAATGATTACCATCTATCTATATATGTTAATAAATAAATGAATTTATATGACAAAATAAATGTGACTCCAACTAAATTCCTATCGAATTTTTTATAAAATTTAAAGGATAATATCAAATTGAATGAATACAAAGAATAGTTTCGAAACAACTTGTTAAAATCCCGAGATAAAAGCTGACGATTACGCAAGTTTAATTAAATATTATACACTTATCAATACAAAACGTGCAAACGTAATATAAACATTATTAAATACATACGATATAGTGCACATAACCTTAGTTCAATATCACTACGTGCTCCCGTCTGCCGAGAAAACGTTTTGCATGCTTGCAACAAATTTAGCAAAATTTGAAAACACTGCGTTCTATATTGAGATCAATAGAGTAAATATTATCGAAGAAATCGGCCAACCAAAATAACACGAGTCAAATTTATACAAATGTTAATTTAATGTAGATTTTTTTTGTAGCAAAAAGTTTCCAAAAATGATATGTGTGTATTGAAAGTGCTCGTAATGAAATTTTTTGTCTTGTGTTAAAGTATTTGAAACAATATTAGTTATAATGAATTTTAAATATTACGTGTCTTTTATAGAATATCGCTTAACTCAAATTCATTGAATTATCTATTTTCTGTCCTTCTTTTATGTTTTATTACTTTTTTTATCAACATTTTAATATACATAAATAAGGTAATTCGTAATACATAGGATCGTATACATCAAAGTACATTAACATAGTTTCCAAACTATTGTTTCGTTTTGAACTTCATGGAATACATAGAATGTTAGTTCCAAGAGAACAACATAAATCTCTATTGTTTATGTGTCCTTAGTTTGTTTAGGTAATTGTTTTTTATTACCAGGAAGTTCTCTAACCTCATACTATTATTATGAACGACGTTTAAGTTTGAGATTAGCTGAATTTTTTTCTGTATTCTAATTGTTAATCTTTAATTCCAGGTCATAGATTTCGGCAGTTCGTGTTATGAGCACCAACGTGTGTATACTTATATACAGTCGAGATTCTATCGAGCTCCCGAAGTGATGATGGGTGCGAAGTACGGCATGCCGATAGACATGTGGTCGCTGGGTTGTATATTGGCGGAACTTCTTACTGGTATGTTGATGTATTACTAAAAAAATGACTTCAAACACACGCGTATGTTGACTAAATTTGCTATTACTTTGAAGGTTTCTTTTACAAAAAATTCAATCAAATTTAATTAGATAATATATGTAAGATTTTGTAGGTTTAATTATCACGAATTATCTTATCATGAACATTATTTATTGTCAAAAAACTATAGTATTATCTTCGTTGGATCTTCACGATGAAGTTTTATCATGTATATGGTGATCATTTCCAGGTTTCCCCCTTCTACCCGGCGAGGATGAAGCTGATCAGATGGCTTGTATCATTGAGCTCTTGGGCATGCCGCCACAGAGGCTGACGGAACAGGGAAAGAGGTCCAAGAACTTTATAAGCAGCAAAGGACTTCCTCGATACTGTACGGCTTCCACTCTACCTGATGGTACCACGGTGCTAAGCGGTGGTAAGTCATATGTAACTATTATTTAGTATTTAATTTATTACTAACTAGCTGCGCCCCACGTTGCTACCCGCGGATTACCGGGATTTTTGGGTTTCGGGCATGTAAAGTAACCTATATGTTATTCCTGAACGTCAGCTTCCTGTATACAAAATTTTATCAAAATCGGTTCAGCCGTTTGAGCGTGAAGAAGTAATAAACATACACTCATACAAACTTTCACAATTATAATATTAGTAGGATTGTGAAAAAATACCTTAAAAGTCGATTATTTAGAATATATTTCAGCTTAAACTTTCTTCTGATAATCTGCTTCCAATATAGGTACGTGGAATTATCCATTGGTAGTAGATTTACACTATCCCCGACGATATGTATATCTATATATTTAATTTGGTGACAAAAGATGCCATATGAATTTAAAAAAAAAATTAAATATTCTTTAAGAAATTCTCTAAGATTTCATTTTAAAATATCTTTTAAAACAGATGTGAAATACTATCGCCGGCTAACCAACAGTAAATATAAATATAATGTTTAAGTCATTCCTCGTTTAACTCCAACAGTATATAACAACTGTGATTCAACATCGTGGACTCTTAACTTTCATATAATAAAGTAATAGTCATATCTATTTATACATGGACTGTCACTACATTCTTTAACGAGTTGAAACTTAGTTTTTCTAACGTCATAACGAAATGCAGCGAGAGTGACTCACACATACCATTCACACCCACTAATACTTTAATTTCTATAAATCACGTACGTATACTCATGTAGTATTACGTTGTAAACATTGACAGCTTGTCTGCGATTCGATGATTCAACTACAGACGGGAAGTAATGTATATAGGGTGTTACATTTCTGTTCTGAAGGGTTGATTCTTGAAAGTACTTCATTTGTCCGTACTTATGCACCCTTCGTTCGTATCACGAAGGGTACGTTTTGTTTTAAGGGCTATGATTCTCGTACAATTTGCGATATTTTCCTGAAGAGCCATCGAATGTTTTTAATGTAATATAATTCGCATCCCTCGTCTTTCGTTGGTTTCTATATAATTTATTCTGAGTACTTAATCGATACAGTGCTTCATGTAATAAAGCAGTCGATTATTTTGGCTTTATGCCGAGACCGTTGTGTAATGTTTTGGATAATCCAACAGACAACAGTGAGACACAAAGTTTTATATTACTCTAGTCTGTACTAACCCTATCGATTGTGTCTGTTTTCATTCGCTATCCAATTACACGACATGCTCCTTTTAAAGGAATCTAAAAGATCAATAGTAGAGTTCTTTCCTGCAAAGTTCACTATACATATTTTTTAAAGGAAGGCCATAACAGTTTTGACGCTGTAACTTTAATTAATCATACCTTATACTACTCATTATACAAAAAAAATAAATGAAATCAATTGTTCTTTGTGCGAATTTAATACACTACTGTGCCATCTATTTAACACTCTTGAAGTCTTAAACCAAGCAATATATTTCTTTTATATATATTATCACTTAATCCTCAATGTTCTTCAACACTAATAGGGTCTAACACAATTGTATTAAATTTTACAGGTATGTCTAGGAGAGGCAAACCCCGAGGCCTGCCAGGCTCCAAGAGTTTCGTGACAGCGTTAAAAGGCTGCCAGGATAAATACTTCATCGATTTTATTAGACGGTCAGTTTGTTTTAATTATATTTAAAATATTTTTCATATTGTTCTATTGTTTTTCCGTCTACATCATACGTGTAACAAAGTAATCTATCCGTGTACTAAATACACATACTTCGTCTAATCAAGTTCACTAGACACGATTTTATGATTAACTAGCTTTCCGCCCGCAGCTTCGCCCGCGTGGAGTTTGGTTATATCGCGTTTCCAAGAGAACCTTTCAGAAGTCTGGGATAAAAACTATCCAGTTCTTTCTCAAGGTCAACTCTGTCTGTACCAAATTTCATTAAAATCAGTTCAGTGGTTTAGGCGTGAAAACGTAAGAGACAGAGTTACTTTCGCATTTATAATATTAGTAGGGATTAATGCAAGATGATTTCTGTCCATAAACGACATCTACGTTATACAGGGTGACTGGTGAATTAATATTTAAGGAGAATACTCGGTACATGATTCTCATTCGAATTATGTAAAAAAAATAGGCACTTAATTTTTGACAAAATTTCCGTATAAATAAATAAAGTGTTGACACGTTCCAAGTGTTCCAAGTGTGGACGCGTGCGGCGGCGTGCTGATACAACACCACGCCGTCGCGCGCGTATGTGTGTAAACCTAATCTGTAGGGTGTTCACACGATGCGTAATTAATTATATAACTTTTGGTTAACTTTACTTAGAAGTTTATTAATATTTATGTTATATTAATTTTTATTTTGTCATATATGATCGTCAAATATCACGTCCTCAAGTATCGATAGTAATTCACCAGTCACCCTGTATAAGCGTTCTATACAGGGTGACTGGTGAATTACTATCAATATTTAAGGAGCATACTCGGTACATGATTTTCATTCGAATTATGTAAAAAAAATAGGTACTTAATTTTTGACCAAATTTCCGTATAAATAAATAAAGTGTGTACACGTTCCAAGTGTTCCAAGTGTGTCGCGTGCGGCGGCGTGCTGATACAACAACACGCCGCCGCACGCGTGTGTGTGAGTGTGTGTGTATACCTAATCTGTAGGGTGTTCATACGATGCGTAATTAATTACATAACTTTTGGTTAACTTTACTTAGAAGTTTATTAATATTTATGTTATATTAATTTTTATTTTGTCATATACGATCGTCAAATATCACGTCCTCAAATATCGATAGTAATTCACCAGTCACCCTGTATATATATATATAGATTGTATATATATGTTTGTATGTTATAATTTCCAGATGCCTAGAGTGGGAACCAGAAAAGCGTCTAACACCTGCGCAGGCGCTTCGTCATGCGTGGCTTCGCCGGCGTCTGCCTCGACCCCCGCACGACGAAGAACCAGCGCCAACTGTTAGTATGCACACACGACTCAACAACTGAACATAGGTTGGTTATGTGGCTTTGATGCTTGTGGTTCACTTACGACATACGCTATATAAGATATATATACGATATTTATAATTATATACAGCTTTACAGTTAATGAAAACTGAGGGTAGTTTATAATAACATATAAAAAAAAATATTTCTGTAACTTATTCAAAGTAGTACACTTGTTTATACATCGTTGGGTAACCCCTTTTAAGTATGTATATCAATACAGTAATACTTTACGCGAGGGATACGTTCTGAAGAAAATCGCGTTAACTGAAATTTGCGTATATCGAGGTTTATGATTAAACACAGTCAAAATTTAATACACAAATATAAAAATCATTTTAATCAATCACTTTAATTCTAAGAACACTATACAATACATAGGTACTCCTATTTTTTACGATCAAATACATGTATTGTCTTTTGAGTAGCGTTTTGTTTACGTTCTTGTAAAATACGTTCATAACACCCAAAACTGTTTTTAATCGTTTGACACACGTTCAAGACACGGTCATCATTATTGTCTATTGCAGAGTGCAATGTCCCAACCTGAATAAATTTTTGAAAATCGCGTTATAGTGAATCCGCGCAAAACGGGGTCGCGTTAAGCGGGGTATTACTGTACTTATACCTAGATACATATGGCTATAATGTCTCTTTGTTATGTAGTATTAATATGTCGATGATTTAAGACTTGATTTTTAATATCTAAATTTAGATTTCATTGTTAAAATATGTCTTTTGTGGTGGTTACTATATTTCTATGGTCTTTTGATAGTTTGTCAGTATATATACTGGGAATATTTTATGCCATAGATCCACTAAAAAAATGCGATTATTGAACAAATGTATTCAGAATATTAGTGAAAGAAAAAAATGAAAGCCTCATTACAATTATTTTGCTTATATCGTTAGAGACTTTAAGCTTATAAGCTCTTATATTGAAGGATATATATATATATTTTTAAAAACATATGTACCATGTATTATTAATTATAATAATAATTCCTCATTTAGCATATTGAATTTAATTTGCGGAATTAATTTTAAATAATTATTCCTAATTTTATTTAATATATTGTAATGCGAGGAAACCACAAGCATCTTTTTATTTTATTTTTATTAAGTTTTATTAATTTGCGAGTTATATTCTTTTAAGTTTTTTTTTATTTATATATTATTATTATCATTATTATTGTATTGTAGAGTAGAAGCATATGTTGTTTATAATAGCGTTATCAAGAAAAAAACTCAAGATGCCAAAATTTAGATTCTTCTTAACAAACTAAATAGTAATTATAAGAATTAAGAATACTATTAAACTGTGTCCGTTTAATTTAATATGTAAGATTATGATATAATATTTTTTTCTAAATAACAAAGAGTATAATAGTTTCTAAGTAAAATATTTTTCTGCAATATGAAAATATATGTAGTATTAAAATCTTAAACATTATTTTCCTATAGTGATCTTAAACAACAAAATCCAGTGATATTAATATATATACATATATACTAGAAGATCCGGCGAACTTCGTATCGCCCTATAATCAAGAAATATCTGTTACTTTTTTTTATTTATATTTTTGGACTTTACCTATTAAAGCCATAAATCTCAGTGTTTAGAAGTGTGACAGAATGATTGACATATTAGTTGTCAAATCTAATGTCAAAAAAAAAACGTTTGTATCAACAACTACTGATAAATTAAAAATTAAGTAAAAAACATTGTCCAGTGGACAAAATTGTGAATTTAAACCATTCCCAGATCCCCTTGAACACGCACAAAAAATTTCATCAAATTCGGTCCAGTCGTTTGAGAGAAGTTCAGTGACATATACACTCACAGAAGAATTATATATATGTTATATATGTTTCAGTGTAGCGGCGGGTCGGGCGCGGCTAGAGGCGGCTCGCTGCGCACGCCGCTGGCTCGCACACCGGTCACCTTCAACGCAACGCAAGTCGCCAGTTAGTTATTATATCATATATTATATATATTTAGAGGTAGTAGAGACTAGCTGTAGTCTAAAATCAGTGGTGGCCTAGTGGTTAAAAGGCCCGCCTCTCATGCACGAGGGTGCGGGTTTGATCCTGGTAAGTACCAATGTGATTATACCGAGTCATATGTACTTTCTAAGAGTATTTAGACATCACTGATTAATGCATTCCCAAAGAGGGTTGATGTCAGGCAGGCGGCCGGTCGTAAAAACAAATAGCCAAAACTATTCACAACATGTAAGGCAGACCCTGGCTATAGCTGGGAAATTGCGAGGTAGAAGAAGAAGAGCCTAGCTGTAGTTAAGTTACTACAGCTCGAACATGTGCTAGCTCGACCGGGGAAGTACCACCCTCTCACAGAAGATCGGCGTGAAGTAGCCCTTAGTGGCTGCGTTTCGTCCGATGAGTGAGAGAGACAATTGCCTTTTCCATATTCCCTCCCTTTCCTACTATTTCATTATTCCCAACCCTCCCTTTTCCTCCACAATCAAGTTTGACAAAGAAAGAACATCTATGTTGAAGATGTCTATGGGCAATGGTCACTACTGCCCATCAAGTAGGCCTTTGACATAAAAAAAATACATAAACAGTTATACATGCCTATAAGACACTCGAGATAACCTATCAGAACTGTACAAGAGTAAAGCTTTACTTAATTATATAAGAAACTATTTTTTGTTCGAAACTTCGTCCGCGTTAATTTCGGAATTAGTAATATATGTATAGCTGACTTGGCGAAATCTATTTCGATCTAGAAGCCGTTAATGTCTAAATATTGGTCTTTATTAAATATTTTTTATTTTTTGACTGAAAAAAACTCACCTGTTTCTAAGCTAACTCCCTGCAAATTTTCAACGAAAACCCTATAGCCGTTCTTGAGCTATTAATAGTGTAACTAACACGACTTTCTTTTACATATATAAAGCACTAAGTAAATGTATCCAAAGTCTTAATTAAAGTATATTTGTCATCATCTTCAGAAGCGAAACTCCAAGCAGCATTATCTGAAGAGAGCAGCGGTATGAGTGGGTCGGTGGGCAGTGTGGGCGGTGTGAGCAGTGTCGGCGGTGTGGGCAGCGTGGGCGGCGTGGGCGGGCGGTATTGGGCGGGCGGGAAGCTGCCGCATCTGCCGGCACCATCCTAGCGCCCGCCCTCCGCGCGTCGCCTAGCCAAAGTAAGAAGAAGTGTTAAGTACTGACGTTATTCTAACATGAGTGTAAAATGTCTCGTTTTTCAAATTAATTATCTTTTAAAATTTAAATAAACCAAACATTCGATACATTCTGTGAGAGTGGCCTACCCTCAACTATCTTTCCATATGAAGACATTTTCAATTAAATTTTTAATTTGATTTCATCAGATAAATACTTGAATATTTTTGTTTTATAGTATATTTCAAGAGTTAAATGTAACGAAGAAAATTCAAACATAGTCCCATTGCACTTTGAATTAATGACTTCATAAAAATAATGATCGTAGTTATAAAGGACATAGTTAGCAATTAGCATCTCACACTTTTATACGTTTTTGAAAATGTATCATTACCTAACAGTCTAATTGATGACAACAAAACAAACATAACATATAATTTAATAAATTAATTAAGATTTTCATTTGCTTATCCTGAGATTTATCCGCATCAATATCACGTGTGCGTTGAGTCAGTGGTGTTTTCATTCATTTTATTGCTAATATAACTAATATATGAAGCCATATATAATATGATATAGAGAAGTGACATAAATTGTATATCGCCAGAAATTTATATGTATACAAAACAATATTTAATTTGAAGCATGTTTATGTTATGCTATTCCCTTTTTTTTGTGTTGACATTTGACAATATGAACATGGGTATTTTAACGGCTTCCCGTCTGGTGGCGCCACTAAACCCATATAATAACGTCACTTACGTTGGAAAATATATTTACAAAGAATAATTTTTAATTAAGAATAACATTAAATATATAGTTACAAAACATGCAACTTCTTTTTTTATTATATTGACGTGTGTTTCTTTCAGGTATCATCCTTGGAAGCTCCTCGACGCGCAGCCGGCGTTCGTCTCGAGCTTGAGCGACGTAGTCTGGACTTAGAGAGGGAATTGAGACACGAACGGGCTTCAGACGGCTCGCTGGACGACCGAGACCACCTCGTGTGATACCCACCACCCATCACCCACCACCCATTATCCATCATACAACACACTGCGAACTGGATACACTGCCTCTACAGCAGATTATATATATAGACTGTTGCATTTAATATACATCTGATCCATACTTATTATACATCGAATGTTAGTGACGTGACGTGTCGTGTCGTGTCGTGACGTTGACAGTGCAGTGTACAGTGTACGGTGTGTGGCCTAAGGGCACAGCGGCGATATTGATCTCAATAAATAAATAAACACTCGAACTTATATAACGGACATCTAGCGGAATTGTGAGTAAACTAATGTTTTAATGTTTTCTATGTATTATACATGTAACGAGCGGAAGTTTTAGTGCCTGCTAAGGTTTAGTTATAGGTAACTCGACCACTTAAGGTATATCTTTGAACATTTTTACCGAAACGACTATTATCGAGAGTTGAATGTATTTCTTTCTGTATGTTAGCCGCTCGAGTCACGTTCAGACTAATTAGTAGAATCTTGTAGTGATTTAAAACAAGATTTTAACTGAATTTATTCAATGCTTTTGTATGTACTGAGCGTATTTTTTTTTATTATTATTATTGTGACGTATAATTTTTAATTCTCTCTCGAATAGATTTTAAGCTAACGTGTGACTAAATAACTGTTTTCTACACAAGCGATGTCATTTTGTTTTTTTTTATATATATATAAATATATATTCTAATTATGTTTTAGTTGTAATGTGTAAGCGTTCGTTGTAAGTTGTCCTCACGTGATACTGTGACCTTATAATCGGGGTTAAAGGTTAAAGGTTAGTTAGATGCAAGGCCTTTTTTACTAGTTAAGTATAGTGCGGGGTACCGTTGGTAAAAAACTTAGTGATGGTTTGCTAATATAAATAGAGACGGCTTGAGCTCGCACACAACTTAGTTAATTTCCCGCCATTAAAGAACATACATTAGTATTAATATGTAGTCCTTTTGATTTTATTATTGTTTATAAAGTCAAACATATCACCCACTTTTTTCTAAGTCGGTTATGTATATTATTTTTTGTTCTACGTGTACTCAGTGCAATATGTTTGACAGAAACATTTCGTTCGTCTTCCTTCTCTACAAGGGCCTATTTAAATTTATTGCATTTTTTTTTTGTTTATTTCTAATACATAGTTGTAGATTTTTTTTTCGATATGTATGTTATTACATAGAAAATTATATTGCAATGAAATATATAATGTACTAAGGGATGTATCATCGGAATAATAATATGCAATTTAGAATTTATTATTATTGTCCTGTAACAGATTTTTTTCCCGATTATGTTCTTACAATTGTGTTTTGTGTAATCAAAGAAATATATATTTATTATTAATTATAATAATAATTCAATGAATCAATATCAATGATTGAATATTATTATTTCGTGTGAATCCCAGTTATTTTATATAATTGACAGTAACCATACTCAAAATAGCATTTTTTTTTATATAATTTTCATTTAACTATCGTGTTAAGTTAACTGCCTTCGTTTATTATGCTCAATAGTTTTATATAAGTTGTCTGTCGTCGGTTCAGATGTGACATTAGTATATATTATTTTTTTTATCCGATTAGTTTTAGACGAGTACTGTATTTTACGTAATGGAAAGTCGGAACCGAAGCCTTTTCACATAGACCGTTGCTGTATAAACAGTGCCAAATAAATATAGTGTGAGATGTAAGGCTTCGCGTGAACCATCCTATATGAAAATGGCATTTTTGTATGGAACTGTCCACTCGGTGTGAGATGGTATTGTAATGTGATAGCTTAATATTTGGTTCATGTATCCTCCTAATATTGTAACATGAGATACTTTTATTCTAAATTTTGTGAATGTAACCAAAGTAATGTCTTTTTACGAGTCGAGTCTATTTAGTCAATCCGTTCAGTGTGTGTGAAAGGCTTGGCATAAATCAGTATTAAATTAATAAATAATGAATTAACTCAATAGCATCAGAACTGCCAAGTTTAATGATTTTGCTATCTCATGAATCTAGTTACTTTAATGGCTTTCGTTACTGCATTTTTCTTTATAGATTTTTTTTTTGTGAAAATGTGTTCCCATTTTTTATGTACCGCTAGTGTTTCGCTGTGAAACTCGTAGCAAATGTGAATACTATACAATTTAAATAAATGAATTATATAATTATGTTTTGAAGTTTTATTTTTTCTTTGTGTTACACGAATTTAAGTTTTATCTATATGCTATTGTACTCATACATACTAGTACGTAGCTGGTTTAATTTTACTATAGTATTAAAAATAATAATTTCTCCACTAACAACCACTGATAATTAAGTTTTTTAAATCTTTTTCAATCTAGAATTTATATTTATTGGAACCTATTTTTTCTGTCTTTTAAAACAAAAAAAGGACAGTGGACTTTCTAATTAAAGTTTTTTTTCAATTCCGTGTCTTCAGATTCATAAAGATTGTGCATCAAATATATCTTAACTCGACCTGAATTGGGAAAGATAAAAAATATTTAATTTACGTTTTAGTCGAATAAGTTACTTAAATGAGACGCCATAACGAATACTCCAACTACACTTTGAGAAGAGTTTTAAATAATAATGTAGTTTTATTAAAAATGCAGTGTTATAATACAGACCCTTTTTGCGTATAGTAACTATTATAAAGAGTTTTTGGATTTCTTCAAATACCTATTTTTGATTTGATAATTAAAATGTAATAATTCTTATTGTGATGACAATATTCAAACTTATATTGAATGAACAGAATTCATTAAATAGTTTGATATTTTTTTGTAAAATTTTAAAACATTTATCCTGCTTTGATGGATTTTATGAAACCACGTAGCAACAATTTTTTATGGGATTAGAAATTCTTCATTTTTATATTAAAATTTTTCATCCCATTTAGTAGATACTAATAGTGTTATTTTATAAATAAAATTAATTCTGTAGATGTATTTCAATATTATATTAATAAGTCTTGATCGCTAATACTATGAAGTTCTCTTAAAAGGTATATAAGAATAGCTCAATAAAAAAAAAAACAAAATCCCTCCCACTACTACTTTAACATATTATGGCTATGATTTACAAATTGTATTTAGGTAACACTGAAAATCTTTAGAAAATGAAAAATGGCAAAAAATGTTGCCAATACTTTTATCGTTTTTCGAAGTAATCTGCGTTCCTCTCTACACACCGTCGCATTCGAGGGAACTACTGAGAAAAAGAATGAGCCCGTTCTTCCTTAGCAATTTCATCTATGTCATTTTCATACGCTTTCAACGTATCGTATGGGCTATAATACTTTGAATATTATCTCTAGTTCTTGGGAGTAAATGAAAGTCACAGGGTGCGAGGTCGGGACGTTAGGCGAATGACTTATTATCTCGACACCTGCCCTAGTTAAATCATCAATTCATCAGTCCGTTTTGCGGAGTGCTCTGAAGTTTTGTCGCGGTGAAGGAGAATCCTACTTCGAGGGCGCTGCTGTCGAATTTTTTCAAGGCAATAGGAAAAAAGCGATTGACATACCAGTCTGCAGTAAAGGTCCTTCCATCTTCTAGCTCAACTATCTCGATTTGACCTTTCCGACCAAAGAATAAAAAGCAATTATATTTTTCCTTCACTTTTTCCTTCCTTTATCTTATTTAGCAGATACTCAAAAGAAAATACCCACTAAGCTGATAGTCTTTTTGGTTTCGGGTTGAGAATCGCAGAGAATATTGTGTGTCATATAATATGTTGGCAACAAAGATGTCCCATACAACTGATAGACGAAAAAAGAAAAACAAACTATAATTAACAAGAGCTTTTTACCATCTTCCCTCCCATCCCTATGATGTTCACGGCCCAGGCAAACCTATAAAACATAACTTCACTCTTCTCCTTGGTTAAGTGTGTGTTAGAAAATAATTAACAACAAAACGAAAAATAGTTCAAATGAGAAAACACAATGAAAAATCTGCTAAAATATTTGAAACGTTTTCATTAGTAGATACAGGAATATTTGTAAAGGACTATTAGAAGTTACGATATCCAGGATAGGGATTATTATAATACGACCGATGCTGTCGCATCTACAGCAATTGAAGTCATGAGAGAACATAACTTTTAACATCAAATTCCTCGAAAGAGCAGAATTTGAATGGGAGAAAGTGAAGATTAATTTCTTGAGAGGAACAGAAGAGTTTCGAACTTCACTGTCAATATTGACAGAAGTTTTAAGATTATCAACTCCAAGTGATATAAGAAACTTCTAATATTTAGCTGAGTTGCCTCTTTGAACGAAATTGTTTCTGTGGTGAGCTTGTGTACAAAATACGTAGCTGATAGTGGAAGGATATACAGATCGTATTAGTCAGCTATTTCCAAGAGCTACGAGCGGTTGTTATTTTCAAGCAAGCAGATAAATTCATCTATGTTATTGTCAGCGACTTCATCTGCGTTACTTTAAGAATTCGAAAAATATATCTAACCGGGTGAACTCTATTCCTCCATTAAGACAGAAGATAGAAAGTTATTTTAATTTATTATCAATTTGTTTTATTTTTTATCGATCGCATGAATAGTTCCTGGTTCTAAACTATCTCTCCACCGATTTTCAGCCAAACCCGTACAGCTGTCCTTGATTTATAAATAGTAATAAAAAGAGAATAGAGAATAAAAAGAATTTTTCACACGCTTAAAATACATATAGAAGAATGAAAGAAGAAATACACTTTACAATGATGAACGCTAACTGTTTCTACTGCTTCGGGCTTCTTTGTTGGAAGCTGTTGCTCCAAGGCGGGGGGCATGTCTACGCATCTAATTTTTACTCCGGCAACACCGCTTCGCACTGGCCACACCGACAGACGACGAGCGCGGGATGGGGTGGGGAGCGGGGCGGGGTATCTATATATTCTCACTTTAAATTCGCTAACGAACACTTCTAATTTTATATACACTTAATTCGTAACTCATTACCAAAATTGTAAAAGGTCATCATTAAATTATCTAAAAGCTATC